CAAGAAGAAACCCAGAATAGCAAAAGCAATTCTAGGTAACAGAGACATGGCAGGGGGTATCACAATCCCCAACCTGCAACTATACTACAAAGCTACTGTGATAAAAACAGCATGGTACTGGCAAAGAAACAGACTTGAGGACCAGTGGAACAGATTAGAAGATGCAGAAACAACACCAGACACACTCAGCCATCTCATCTTCGACAAAGGAGCCAAACACCCTCACTGGAGGAAAGATAGCCTCTTTAATAAATGGTGCTGGAAAAATTGGGCTTCAACTTGCCAAAGATTAAAACTAGAACTGTATCTCTCACCATGCACTAAACTAAAATCAAAATGAATTAAAGATCTAAATATTAAAATAGAAACTCCTAACCAGTTGGAACAGAGGTTAGGTAGAACCCTTGAAGACATGGGTGTAGGAAAAGATTTTATGAACAAAACCTCAGTTGCCCATGAACTAGCACAAACAATCAACTAGTGGGATCTCTTCTTATTAAAAAGCTTCTGCACAGCAAGAGAAACCACCAGCAGTGTGAAGAGACAACCCACAATGTGGGAAAAAATCTTCACCTCTTCCTCAGACAAAGGTCTAATATCTTGAATCTATAAAGAACTCAAAAAGATCAGGCCTGGTCTTTTCTTTGCCTTACCTACAGGACACTACTCAAGCTACTTAAAGCATGCATGGACAAAATAGAAGTAGAGCCTCCCTTTGCTGCTCCCCTTCCCCCACAAAGATTGCATAGGATTTTCAAATGTGACCTGCCAGTATATATATATATTTTTTTGCAGTATCAGGAATTGAACTCGGGACCTTGCGCTTGCAAGTCAGGCAACAGCACCCTGAGCTAAATCCCCAGCCCTGCCAGCATATACTTTTATGGATAGTTTTTTGTTGTTGTTGCTTAAAATATGACCTCAGTTTCAACAACTTTGTTGTACATATTTCATTAAAGAGAATATGAATGCATTTAGTCATCAGGAGATAATGGCAAATGTCATCAAATAATACAGAATACAGTGATTGTATAAGCTGAGCATTATCCCATGTGATCTGGTGTTTTTGTTGCTATTTAGTTTTATATTTGCCCTTTTTTCCTATGACTTTTATTGCTAAGTGATACTAAACTTTGCACAATTTTTCCTTTCTTATTTTAATCTGAATTTCCTTATTTTATTTTTGTTGTTGTTGTTGTTTGATACAAGGTCTTGCCTCATAGTTCACGCTGGCCTTGAAGTCACTATGTGGCCCAAGCTGACCTCAACTCAAAGTGATCTTCCTGCTTCAGCCTCCCGATTGCTGGGATTATGGGTGCATACCACCATGCCAGGCTGATTTTCCTTCTTTTAACCTGATATAGAGTTGCTAATCACATGGATTATAAATTATTTTATAATTTTTTTGTGAATGTTGTTAGTTGGCCTTGACTGCCAGGCATACCTAATGAATGATTTTGTTACCCTTTTATTTATGATCACTGTGTCTGGGAATTGGAGTTTAACTACTAAACAATCATAAGGTGATGTGGTGAATGTTCACGTGTAATTACATATCTTTGCATAAACCTTGTGCTTTCCATTTGCTACAGAATATAGTCTTAATTTTTGGAAATTTCTGTGACGTGTTGGAATTTTTTTATGCTTACTATGCAGAACAAGAAACTGCCACTAGTGGCTTGTCTACCTGTTTACAGCTGTTTAAAAATCTCTGGTCTACTACTTGAGTAAATTGAAACGTGAACATAAACTGAATCTTCTTTCTCGATTTTCAGGTATTTTTTACTTAAAGAATGTAATGAACTTCATGACTCATCTAATAAAAATGAAATTTAACCAGTCCCCAATGGAAACTCCCAAGGAAATATGAATATTAAAACAGTTTCAGATAACTTTGGATGGCTTATTCTCTTGCAGGATCTATGTTACAGTCCCCCATTGTCACAAGAAACTCAGAATTGATTAATATGCTGTCCAAAATGTGGTTTCAACTTCAGAGATTTTAGAAAATATGAAAATGAATAGAATAGTTTTTTGCTTTTAAATTGACTTCCTATTGTTGACACACTTAACCTGTTCAGAATGGCCAACATTACATTTTGATTGTATGTTTTGCTTTGGAAATGAGAATATTTCAGCAGTGTACTTGAGGGCATTTGGGATAATTTTCACATGGTTAAAGTTCACCTTTGGAGTCATGCCTAAGAATTGATTCCTCCAGGCCTGAGTCTACAGACTTCATTTCATTTTTTATTATTTATGAAGTGCTCTTAATGTTCACAGTACTGCATGATGAGAAGAATGTGCCAGAAGAGAACAAGAGACAGAAAAAGAATCAAAAGTTCTCCTCCCAGGAATTTACTGTTAAAAATTTACTTGATTGCTCTTATTATTTAAACCCACAGCTGCTGAATCAGTTCTTGGCTCACATCTCTGGGGTGTGTGTGTGTGTGTGTGTGTAGTTTTTACAGTGCATTAATTCAGAGATGAAACTTGTTTGACTATGGTTTGTAGTTAGTAAAAGTACAGTGAAAATGCCATGAAGAGTTTTACACAGTGATTCTGCGCTCTTCCATTCAATATGACCATTCTCCTTGCCTCTCGCTGAAGCCTGTGGAAGAAAGTAATGTTGATCTTTAAGCCTTATTTACTCCCAGATAATATTATTCAAGACACCAGTGAATACAAATTCAGGGGTCCATGCCATGTTTTGTATAATCATTTAATTCTAAATTCTATGGTGATATGAAGATGTGGAATATGTAGATAGTTCCAAACTGTGCTAGTGAAACAGCACAGCCATGGGCTTGAGTTGTATTTCACTTTGTAGTTTTTATGATGTGTACTGGTTAAATATTTGGGTCTAGATAAACATTTTTCATGGCCACGATTACCACTGTGCACCTCCTTCTTTACCTTATTGGAAATTAGTCCTGTGCTTTTAAAATTAGTTTCAAGGGGCCGGGGATGTAGCTCAGTGGTTCCACCACCTGCCTCACAAGCACAAGGACCCAAGTTAGATCCCTGGTACCAAAATAAAAAAATAAAATAAAATAAAATAAAATTAGTTTCAAGAAGCTCTGTCCAAACTTTTATTTTTTAAGCCATTAATCCTCTATCAGACAAAAAGCCATCATCAGTTAGAAAATTGAGATTCTTCTTTATAGATTGTAGTTCAGTACCTTGAGGGTGGCACTGATTGTTGTTGCCATTAAGCTGAGTTTGGAAAACAAAGACCTCACCATCTGACAAAAAAAATATGAGAAGACCCTGTGTTCAGAATGCCACAGATGACGATCACTATTGAGAAACAGGCGAAGTATGTCCACTGTCACTTCTGGATAATGTCCATCTTGGCATCCAGGAAACTACACTTTTATGGATTCATTCATTTTACTTTTCTGTCATCTTTGCAGTTGGTTAACATAATGTGTTTGGAGTGATGATAACCTCATTGTTCTGTGCCTGTGTTATTATAATTCTGAGCAAACGAATGTCTGATATTTGTCTTCCTTCTGTCCTTCTTCCCCTCTTTCATACCTTCTCATCTTTCCTTTTTTTTAGCCTACATTCCTTTCACTTTTTTCATTTCCCTTTGAACTTACTCTAGATAGAATATAGTGGAGAAAAAAGCAAGAGATATTTTTGTGTATGATATTTTAGGAAAATGTATGTTTTGTGGTAGAAATAGAGGGTCATAATTTTTTTTTAATCCCTAGACCATTTGAGATTATTGGAAGGCTCAATCCTCATTAAAGCCAGAAAGAACTGAAAATTTAAAATTCAAAGTAATGGACATTTAAGTAGGTGACTCTAGAGTTGTCTTAATCTTGGTCACGGTTAAGAAAAATAAAGCATACTTAGTATTTTGTCTGTATAACATGAATTTATTTTGTGTGGAAGAAAGTAAAATTGTTCCAAACTCTTGATCTTGAACAATGTGCTTCATGTATAAAACTTGTGTCCATGAAACTAGTATTCAAGGTTTAAGATGTTTAAAATAGATTTCCTTATTTAGTGACTTACCTATGTAATGACTGTTGAGACTTACAACCAGCCACTTGGACTGATGATCCAACTTCTTTTGGGTATAGTTCTGTGCATCTTGTTGATAAAGCCCCAGTGTCTTTTTTTTCCGTACAGTATACCTTCTTTATACAGTACTGTAATTTTTACTGATTGTACTGTATAATACAGTACTATAGTTTTATGTTCTATTATACACGACAGTACTGCATATAAGAGTTATGCAAATAAAAGCAAAGTCATCAAGTTGGAGTTTCCTTTAACCATTTCTTTGTTCTAAATACTGTAATATATGTACTATATACAGTTCCTCATTTGGTGACCAACTCATTCAACAATCTAGATACAGGAATGGAATTTGGTTGTTAAACAAGGAGTATCTGTATTATAAAACTTTACTAACAGAGACGGTCATTAAATTTTGAATTTATTTCACCTATTTCACAGCTTATTTTGAATAAGTTGACTGTTTTGCCAAATAGAATTCTTGATAGAACTGTATTCACAAATAAATAAAAGTGATTTGTAATCAGAATTTATCACAAAGATATGGTTATGCCATGAGCTTCCTGACACTAGATGAATTTATTCTCTTAAATAAATACTTTTCTTACAAAGATCCCTTTGCTCTACAGTTGCTTATCAGTGTCTTTCTTCTTAGATTAGTAAAGGTAAATGTGGGCAAAAATTGTTGTTTTTATGCTAAATTCCAAATAAATGAGGTCAGCATTAATGAAGCTTTATTACAGAGTTCAACAAATTGCTGGAAACTGATCTCTGCAAGTGGTTGAATAACAACTTAAGATATCACAGGACCAACAAGAATGAAACATATTGACTGGATTGCTTGATGTATCTCCATCTGGAGGCCATCTGGCAGCAAGGTTGGCTACTCTTTCTCCAAGAATAAACAAGAGAATCATCAAAATTCCATGAGATTTTATTTTTGGTTGCATTCCATGAGAACAAATGGATATCTTAGCATAAAATCTTAGGATAAAAATATTATAAAAGATTTACTTTATTTTTTCCAAGAAAAACATTTTGTTGAGGCCACCAGCATTACATGTCCATAGTAGATTAAGTTAGCAAAGACCTTTATCATAGCAGTACCTAAAGTGCAGATGGCAGAGAGAGCATGGCATGACATGCTGGGCCAAAGTGTTTCCAGTGGTTCCAGCCTGTTAGTGGAGTAGAGGTTATTTTAGTAAGTCACAAATGGCTGTAAAATAGAAAAAGAAAACAGAGTGTAAGGATATTGTGATACTGTATTAGTGAGAGTTTATTATATAATGAGACTTTGTGTGTATATGCACATACACACACATATTACTAGATCTTGATATAACACAGGTGACAAACAAAAACTGTAGAACTAGGGTAGGTAGTCAGTTCTCCAGAGGGTAAAGAGCACACAAATTTTGTTAATCACTGCATCCTAGTACTATAACCAGTACATGGCACTTAGTAAATATTTGTAGATTGAGCTGTCAACTTAATCGTGGTTATGGTGGAACTACTCATATACATGGTAATCTCTATCCTTAAGGTGTCTAGCATAGGAACAAGATTTAGAATCACAGCCTTCACATAGAATTGGCAATCACTTATGAGTAATATCTTTCCTGTAGACCCCTCAAGTGAACGATTATGGGACATAGTTGTGGTTAAGCCTTCTTTAGTGGTCTGGAAGTCCTTATGAAGGAATTGGAAAGAAACAAAGAAAATGACATGATTGTTGTCATTCAGTTGTCCCTGAAATTCTGTTGCTATTCTTAATAGGCATAGTTGAAATATCAGTACCATATTTTATTAACGATTGGGGCCAAGCACTTTGCTCAGTATTTTACATACATAATGTTAAATCTTGTGTAATTTTCAGAGCAACCTGATGTGTTAGGTGCTGGCATTCTCTTTTTTTCAGATAAAGAACCTAAAATACACAAAGATAGAATAACTTTTCCATAGTTTTACAGTTAACTAGCAGGTGCTAAGCTTGAATTCAGGTCTGTCTGTATGTAGAGACCCAAGTCCTAATCACTGAATTCCAGTTGTTTTTATACCCACACCCAGGTGAGATAATACTTTTCCTGGTGCTTTTCCTTACTGTGAGGTGTTCTGTGATGTTGTATTCCTTCAGTGACTATTGATATTTGTAACTGATCATAAGCAGCTCAGCTTCATAATGCCTCCATCCTTGGAAATTATAGAGACTTAAAGATGGGCTGATATTAGCATGTCCTTATCATAGTTTATACCTCCACTTCCAGATTTTATAGTTAAAAACATGAAAACACTCATAGGTATGCACACCTTAAAAATGTCTTTGAATTTTAGCTTGGTATTTCATGTGTTATTTGCTTAGGAAGACAGTTTTTGACTTCTTCTTAAACTAAACAATTTCTAAAAGATGAATTTGGAAGAATATGTTATAAATTTCTTGAGTTTTGTTTGTTGCTTTAAGTCTTCGAAAACAGTATCTAACATCTATCCAGGGACCCTTCTATTTCTTCTGGGGAGAACGATTTTACACTTAGCATTTTTATGTATATTATATAGGTGCTTAATTATTATTTTGTGAATGCTAATTGGGAGCCAAGAGTAGAAATCCAGCCAAAGAACTGAGTAAATTGTATGGAGAGAGATCATGATCTAAGTAGTCTCTCTCAGAGAACAGAAACTGTGACCATTTCTAGTTCTTTAAGTTCCCAATATCTTTAAACATTAAAAGGCTGATAAAAATGAATGTATATTTTAAATATTCAATTTGTTAGTGTGTATCTTTCTACATGTAGAATCTCATTTGTAGATAGTTTCAGACATGCACATTTGAGGACTTTTCCAGATATATGTGTACAAACAAAATACACACCATTTTAGAGGTGAGACTAAAATGCTATGTGAGCTATTATTAAGAGGGAGCACTGGGCTGGGGATGTAACGCAATGGCACTGCACCTGCCTGACAAGCACAAGGTCCTGAGTTTGAGCCCCAGTATAAAAAAAAAAGAAAGAAAGAAAGACAAAAGAGCACCTGAGCTTGGGTTCATTTCTTGTTGTGTAGCTGGTTTTTATTTCTTTTATTCTGAATGTCCCAAGTATTGAAAAATGTTTTCGGGAAGATATTTCCTATTAACTTAGTAGGGAAGCAGATTTAGTGTTGAGTAGAAAAGTAAGAAATTAAGTTAAAAAATTGAAAGCACTGACAGAAAAGTAAACATGCCAGACACTAGGAGAAAATATTTGCAAAAGACATATATGATAAAGGACTGTTAGCCAAAATATACAAAGAATTCTTAAAACTCAATGACAAGGAAATGAACAACTCAAAAAGTGGGCAAAAGATCACCAGAGAAGGTATACAGATAAATAAGTATATGAGAAAATGTTCAACATCATACATTGGTACCTTGATACTTGTTATTAACTGGTTCCTGGAGATGTGACAAGTACCCCAAAACAGCAAGTACCAAACAAATTGTTTTGGCTGGAAAGGACAGTGAGTCGTAAGGCAATTGACAGGTTCTAGCTTGCGTATCAAGTACTAAACAAACCATGAGTATTGAATGAGTATGAGAATTTTCATGTCAGAGTATGTCAAGTACCGAATTAGATGAGTTTCAAAGCAGCCAAGGCATGACTGTATCATTAGAGAATTACAAATGAGACAAGGAGATACCATTATCTGCTTATTAGAATGGCTGCAGTCTGAAACACTGACAACATCAAATGCTGGTGATGATGTGGAACAACAGGAATTCTCATTCATTGTTGATAGACTACAAAATGGTACAGTCCCTTTGGAACAGTTGCTAGTTGCTTACAAAGCCAAATATTAATCTTAACAAATGATCCAGCAATCGTATATCTTGCTGTTACCCAAATGAGTTGAAAACTCATTTATAGACAAAAACCTCCATGTAGATGTTTATGGCAGCTATATTTATAATTACTAAATTTTGGAAACCACCAAGATGTCCTTCAGTATCTAAATGGATAGATGTGGAACACACAGTGGAATAGTGCTGAGTACTAAAAAGTAATTAGCTGCCAGTCCATTAAAAGAGATATAGAAACCTTAAATGTGTGTTACTCTGTGAATGAAGTCCATCTGAAAAGGACACAGGACTGTGTGATTGAACTGTATCACATTCTAGAAAAAGGAAAACTATGGAGACAGTGAAAAAATCAGCATTTGCCAGGGATTTAAGAGAAGGGATGAATAGGTAAGTAGAGAGGATTTTGGGGTTAGTGAAATTATTCTTTCTGATCTCTAATGGTAGGTACCTGTCACAATTCATGGAACAGGCTTTGAAGTTGATGTGATGGGGAAGGTTGTGCCTGTGTGTAGGGAGGGGCATATGAACATTCTGTGCTTTCCACTGAGTTTTGCTGTGGGACTGAAATTTGAAAAAGTCTCTTGATTGACACTTTCATTACCATTTTAAAGGATGTTATATGTGAAGATATTGTGATTAATAACTTTTTAATGTGTAAATTTAAAAGTACCATGAACCCTTTAAAAAATCAAAGTTTGGTTTAAAAGAAGTAAAAATAAATGAGAAAGATGGCTAAGTTAAATAGTAAAACACACCCTGCTACTCACCCAGAGGTGAGTGGACCAGGTCTCAGCCCGCCTTCCTCTGAGCTGCTGTCTTCCTTTTTGGGGAGTCGCCTCCTCCCTCTCTTGTTTCCTGAACAGAGGCCTTTATATCGCCTGGCCTCTAATGGGGAAAATGTCACCAAGGATCCCTTCCATCTGCAGTTCTCTTTTCTGTTTAATTATGAAGAAAAAGGGAGAAATTGTGCTAAATATGTTACCTGTGTTATTTCTTTAATCCTTACAATAACCCTGTTTAATAAATATTATTTTCTCCACTATATATACTAAAAATTGATTCTGAGAGATGATATGACTTTTTCCAAGGTCATACACAGTGATTGAGTTAAGATATAAATCTTAATTTCATGGTTTGAGGTGTTTTCTTCTGCTCCTTAAACATACACATGCTACTAATGATATTAGTAATAATGTTGGGTCCCCTAAGGTATGAAGATTCATAGCACATTCATTGGAGAGAGCTCAGACTTAAAATATTTCTTCTTTAGGAAGAAAGGCAGTCCTGGGTAATGCCCATCCAGGTTTTAGAAATTTGCAGGTGACTTCCGGTTTTATCCAGGTGTAGTGGCACAAGTTACTTATAATCCTGGCACTTGGGAGACTGTGGCAGGAGGATTGCCAAGAATTTGAGGCCAGCCTGGGCTACTGCATACAGTGAGTTCAAGACCAGCCTAAACTGTATAGACAGAGCCTGTCTCAAAAAAAAAAATTAAAATAATGTGAAAAAGAAGTTTGCTGGATATTTGTTTTTAAATTTTTTTAGTCTAGATTTATTTTATCATTTTTTATACTTTTCTCTCTTTCCTTTTCTCTACTTTTTTGAGACCTCTTAATGATTTTTCTGATTTATATACTTTCATCTAGAGCCTCAGTTCTCAACCTGGAATGATTTTACCCCTGTGGGGGACATTTGGCTGTGTTTGGCAGACCTGCTGGCTCTCTGGTTTATGCTGCCTGTCTTCTTTTCCTCTTTGCCAGAATATGTAGTTGTGATAGCTGTGGCAGTTTCTAAGATTTCTCACCATATTTGAAGACCCAGTGGTGCTATAAGTGCCTGTCTTGGCCTGGAAATAGGCAGCACATTTTGATGATTTTCCAAACCATGTGTGGTCTTTTCCTAGTTTTTCTCTGCGCTGTCAGTCATGGCATTGCTGGGCAGAATTTAGTGACATTTATTAGGCATGTCAGTAGCAATTAAATTATTTTCATGAATGCTTTTTGCAGTTGCACATGTTACTAAGCTACCATGTAATGTTTCTCATTAGCTAAAAAAATAAATTATAGTGGCATCTTCATTTCTTCCAATGCCCTTTTTTGACCATTAAAGCTTAGCTTGAGGCTTATTACTACATTTTTATACAAACCTTGATTCTAAGAGACATTTTTATTAAAAGATATTAAAGAGATGTCAGGAATGAGGAGGTACATTCCCCTTATATCTTATTACCAGAAATTACTCTTGAAGCAAAACAAGTCCTGCCTGAAATAAAAATAAGATGAAAACACAGCATATATGTGCCTTTGGCTATTTGATATGTACAAATAGTTAAGATTATTGTCTTACAAAAATGGACTCATTTTACACACACATTTCTGCAATTGGATATGCCTTGTACAAACTAATTAGAAAGCATCCATATATAACTACATAAACAATCCATTTTTTTTTTAGTGGTTTGAAATGTATGTATGTGGGGTGTGGTTATATAATGTATTTCAGGAAATCTATTTTGATAAACATTGGGTTGACTTTTCTCTATGAAGAATTTCAAATTTATTTGCCTATTTATATATATTTTGTTGCAAAAATTCTTATCAGTAGAATTCTTAGGTGACAGGATATGAGCCAACAGTAGCATTTTTTTTTAGGATTGTCCCTGTGTCCTCTCACATAACTGTTGAGCTCAGCGTGCAGGGACCTAACTCCGGTAAGAGAACCAACTATTCCTTCTTCTCTTTGCCAATACTATGCTTTCCATCTTTAGCTAAATAGTGAAAAGTAACCACTCTGTCACATGCCCTTCAAGGCTTAAGAATAGAAAAGTTGAGTATTTTCCACCTACTCATGGAACATTTATTTATATTCCTCTTTGAATTCTTTGTCCCACCTTTTCTTGATTTATTCTTATCCTTTCCATGTTATAGTGGCTCTCCATCTACTTTCTAGTGAAATAAATAAATAAGTTATCTTTTCTACTCAAAAGTTTAAGTTTTCTTTCTCTATTTTTATTACCCAAACTACTTGTTTATCATCATTGATATTTATTTACAAGAAATTTATGTATTATTCTATTTCAAATTAGAAATAAATTCACCTTAATAATAATAATGTGTTAATTTTTTAAAGATTATAAAAAGTATGAATTAACTTTAGAGAATTGGATTTCTGAAGTGAATTATCTATTGATTAGATCTTCAATTTTAATAGCATGTAAATGTGTGTGTGTTTTATCAAGATATGAGAAATAGCTATAATATTGTGCAAGAGTCATCCAGTTTTAAAATTTTCTTGGTATAACAGAAAGGAGATCCAATAAATTGTTTGGCTTTATTTCTACGTATTGAGCTTATGTTCTTTATTTTAGTGGAAAAAGTTTCTGAATTTTTTCATATCTCTTATATTCAAGGAAAAGATGTATAATTTAATACATTATTTTAAGTTGACTTACATTCTGTTTTTGCCCTGTCTCTATTTCTAGAATGAGTAAAGTTATTTACTCTGGTGTAATTTGCTTCCATTTCACCTCTCCGTTTCCTTAAAAGATAGAAACCACTGACTGTGCTGGGCTATTTGAGTAGTACTCCCCTTACCTTATTTTTGTGTGGTCCATTCTCTTCCTCAAATCTGACACAGCACTGGGGAGACCTGATTTATTTCACATAGTTTGGAAGTGTTCCTGAATCCAGGAAAGTGAAGGAGGAGAAAGAAAAGAGGCTTTTCAGTCACCAGAGATGTAAATGTTTGAGGCAAAACAATATAGCTCAATTTTCTTGGCTTTTATAATGAAATTAAATATTCCCACCTAATCTTCATGGGTTTCCTTCTAAAGTAAATATCTAATTGATTTTTTATACCATGAGCAATATGCATACCTATAAAATATGGTATGGTATCTGAAACTTTATTAAATTTAATTGAAAGCTGTTTTTGAGTGCTTTGAGTAAACTGTGTTCCAGCAATATCAATTGGTGTTTTATTCCCAAACCAGTTGTGCCAGTTCACACCTTTACCTAACTGTGTCTGCTGCATAAGGGCCTTTCCCACCCTCCTTATCCCAACTGATCACCTCCTAGTTGTGCTTTCGCATCCATCTCAGGTGACAGTTCTTCCTGGAAAGCTTTGCTCATGCTTCCTGGTGGAGTTTAATGCACAGTCCTGCATTAACTCAGTTTCTTATAAGTACTTACATTTTGTTGTGAGCATTCACATTTGTAGTAGTCTAGACCTTGCCTTTCCTTCTGAACATAGAGCCAGTGGACCAACATATCTTACCCCTTCTATGTACATGGTGCCTTCCAAAAAGTTGGAATGATAAATTATGAGTTAAAGTTTATATTATCATTAGGTTAAGGATAAATTGAAATTAATTGAACAGTGATTCAAGTTATTCTGGTATATATTTTGAATAACTTTTGAAAAAGTGAGATGACACTAGCAGATGACAGGCTGCAGTGTTCTCAACAGAACATAAATACCTCTTGAAGAGCAAAATTAGACAAGGCTGCTTTTTGAGTATATCTAAAACAAGTCAGATGCAAGGGCACTTGCTTCTCACAAAAGTGACTAAACATCTCCTCTCTGATGACCTATATGAGTGCTTTCTGCTGCTGTGTCCGCCATGACTTCAACTCAGCTTTACTCCTCTATACTCAAGATTAAATTTGCCGGGATAATCAATGAATTGCTCCAGCTGTCTGACACTCTCAACCCAAACCTGGCCACTACTTTCTTAAGCCCTCTTTGGAGTCACCAAAAACAGATGCAAGTTGTATATTGAGCATCTGCCAGTTTCTTTTTCAGATACTCCAGTTCTGTTGGTATACTCTCTTGCTTACAGCTGTGACGTAAAGAAACCAACCTGTTTTCTCATTGTGTGTACCTGGTGGTCTTTGGTGAGTGGGTGCTGTAGTGAGTGTTGGTCTCATTCTCTGACCTTTGCATACGTAGTGTTTGGGGTTGCCCTACTCACTATAAACACATTGTTAAAAATGGAATAGTTTGCCATCAAGTGTAGGGTGGTTGAGAGGAAGAGGAGAAGGGTGCAAGTCACAGACAAGGAAAATACTTTTGGGCTTTGGTAGTTTTAGGTGTGGATCTCTGAAGAGTGATGAGAATTTGAATAAAGGAAGCAGTGGGACATTCTGTGTGGGAAAGACATAAAGCTAAGAGAGATCATTGTATGTTGCAGGAAGAGAAAAGACAGGTAAAAAGGAAAATACTGGAAGAGTTGATGGCCAGTAATGTTGGGTCATGAGGCCAGTGACTTCTTGAGAACTTCATTCATCCTGTTGACAGTGGAAAATGTTGGAAATAAGAGTAAGAGAACAGTGAATAACAGAAAGTAGTTAAATCCTGTAAGATGAATATAGTAGATCATATTTGACAACAGGGAGATCAGGAAGATTTCTGAAAAGCTGATTAGCAGGTCACAGCAACTTGATAAAAAGTAAGGTGGTTGGCTGCTGTAGTGGATGCTGTTGATTTGGCCTTGGCCAGCCTTTTAGCCCGCTTGCACTCTGTGCAAGCACTCTTGCACTCCATGCACTCTGGCAGCTTCCCACCTTTAGTTGCTGGGTCCCTGGTGATGTATCCATACACTGTGACAATTCTGTGGGAACAGAGCTGCCTAAAAGTATCTGATGATACCAGTGGTTGAACTATTCCATGGGCAGCCTTCATCCAGTGAAAGACTAAAGCCAGAAAATAAATGCCTCATTTCCCCTCTTCTTTGTGGGACAATTCTGAGGCACATTATTCAAGTCTCGTCAGAGTATCCTGGAGGGGATTGAGCCCAGCAGTGACTGTTTCATTCCACTCCCTTCATTAGTTTTCCTTTGTCATCAGTCATACTTTCCTCACTGCCTGACTTACCCTCCCTGGGGCCATCTTCCAAATAAACTATCCCAGATAACCCAAACTAATTGAAGTTCTTGTCTCAAGGTCTTTTTGAGGGAACCCAAAGTAAGATGCGTATCATGAATAACTAGGATAATCATTGTTCCATAAAAAAATGGATCTGGCATTCTTTCCCTGGTTAATAATAACTTGTCTAGTGAAATGACTACAGTTACCTCCAGTGTATTTTATATATCACTGCAGAAGTACAGTGAAATGATTTAGAGTTCATGGCTCATTTTGAGGAGAAAAAAAGTGCTCCAGGCCATCTGTGAAAGTATTATAATGATCCCAAGTGGAACATAGGCACTTGAAGCAGTTTCCAGGCACATTAGATTGTTGTCAACAAATAAAAAAAATACAGTATGGGGAGAAGCAAAAAGAGAGAAGGAGTGTAGAAACCCATGATTTTAGCAGGTAAGGAAAAAGAATTTCAGCCTGCATTAGCTGTGAACTCCTTTGTATGGGTGTCATCCAGGTGGTTTAGTATTCCCCGGCCATTGGCGGTTATGTTGTGGTTCTTGCCAGTTTAAGGAGCAATGATGATCAATTACAGGGGAAAGGACACAGCCTTAAGATCATTGCTGTCAACTTGTACTCTCCTGAAAGCCATGGTCTAGCGACTTGAGCCAAGTTAGGAAAAATATTTTTGTTACTAACAATATAGTCGTTAAGTGTGCTCCGTGGGGATTCTGAAATATTTACTTGACAGTAATAAGCATTCGTATTTCATTCTGCTATTTTCCCTCATGATCACATTAGCATTTACATCTTTGAAAACTCAGCACTTAATGGAATTTTATAGACAAATGGCAAGAAAATTTCTTGTAATTAAAGGAAGCAGTGAATCTGTCCGGTTTCCACGAGCAATCATACCTGAGTTTCTTCAGCATTTGGAAATGACGCATGGCTGAAAAGATGCCTGCTCTGGGGTGGTCTTGTCCATTACAGTGTCTTAGGAAATACAGCCCTACTTCTGCTTAGCCTGTGTTCTATATTGGACCTTATTCTAGAAGAGAAGGAATAACTTCACTGTTTTCATTTTCTTCTAAAAGCTATTAGATAGTCTTAAGTTATAATGAATTTAAAACACATTGTTTGTTTCCATTTAATACATTTTGGAGAGTTTATCTGTGTTATCACTTAGTTATGTTTTCATCTGTGATGTGAATTAAGCAGTAAAATAATAAAACATGTTTGAATTCTTCTGAGGAAAATGTATTTTTATTCAGAAAATATTCACCTCCACTGTGTAAAACATATACAATAAAATTAAGTCATAATCATATCAGTGACCTTTGAGAGAGCAGTTTCATAAGTAATAGGATCTAGAAAGCAATAATTAGGAAAGAAAGACTCAGCAACTATTATATAAGGGCACCTCTTGGTGAAGAGAAACAGTAATAGATGAGGTAGTTGCTTGATGCAACCGTGAGTTGAGGTAAAATGAGTTTTATTTTATTACTTTGTTTTTACTTTTCCTGTAAAAGTAGAGGTCTCTTGAATGAGCTTTTAGGCTGAGAAAATATAGAAAACACAGATTGACACCAGAGGAAGCAGTTAGCCTGGAGGATACCCACTTGCAGAGGCAGATTTAAAATGACAGGTGTTGGGGCAGGGATTAACTAGGTTTGGACTGTTCACCTCACTTTGTGAGTCCTTCCACATTTTAGTGCAATAACTGATTTCAATTTATAGACCTCATTAGACTTTGCTAGGTATGGTCACAGTCCTAATGACTGAGGCTGTTGATTCTGCCAGACACATGCCCAGTAAAATATTTGGTTTGTAGCAAGTCTGCGATAAATGTTTATTAAAATTGGATTGAACATACTTTCCTAAGTGGACGAGAGAAGAGTAAAGATTATGTTAGATTTGAGAAAAAGGGAAGAAAATTTAGTGTCCCTCCACTTTTCTCAGTCTATTTGGAGATAAAGTCATCTCCTATGAGAATAAGGGGATGGTTTGGGATCTTGAAACTGCAGAAGCTTTAGGACAGCTGCTTCTGGGAAATGCAGTAGAGATGAGTAGAAACTTGCCACACTGGACTGTGTGTCTAGCTGAGGCTGCTGCTATGAATTTATGGCTGAGTTTCTTAGGACAGTTATATGTGAAGAAAGCCTAAGCAGTGGGCTTTAGGGCATTTGTGGAAAAGTTTAATGGTTAAGGTGAGAGTTCTGATGGCACAGGAGAAATGAAGTTGACAGGGATTGGGAGTCATAATAACTTAGGGAATCTGTATGGGTGAAGGTATTCAAGACTCGCTTTGGTAAGAGGTTGTATCCACAGAAGGAACTAACAGCTTAGAAGTCTAAGAGGTAAAGTGATCTGATTTGTGATGAGGTCCAATTTATGGCTGGGTTTGTGTGTGGCTAGTGGATAATTGGTTTCATAATTAAATGATTCTCTGCATCTTTAGGAGTGTTTAACAGAATAAAATTGGATTCTCTAAGCAAGCAAACCAAAACTTGTTAGAGTTAAAACCATGTGAGATGGAAACAGTGTCAATGTGACTCTAGTTTATGTATGTGATTTTAGGACTTAGAGCAGACAAGCTAATGTTCCTTTAGTAATTGAGTTTCATGTATGGAAGAATGCCTTATGTAACAGCCCATCAGTGCTTTTGCTAGCCAGTTTTGAAATGTTACATGTGCAAACACCTCATAACTTATGCATGTCTTCCAGTGAGAATTACATCACGGGTTGAAAGAAAGTAAATGCATTCATGATTTTTAGATGTTACATAATCTTGGATCTTCATAACTGCCTACTTACATAAGCTGTAGTTATAATCTCATGGCTTTTACAAAGGCAGAAATGAAATTATGCTTACAGATATTCAGTGCAAACCTGAAAGAGCTGTGCATGGACATAGGATTTTGTAAATGCACAAATATCTTAGGTACAGGAGTCAATTTGACCATCTCTCTACTTTTCCCCCTCCCCCAGCCTCAGTGAACATCTAGGTCACTTTTCAGCTCCAGATAATCAAGTTTATGATCTGTGCAATCCCAGAGCTATATATAGAATTCCATGGAGTCCCAGGAATGGTCTTTATCCTCCCAGCCATTCCTTCTATTCCTGGCCTTTGACTCTATCTCAGTAGCCTTCTATGCTCAGTCTTACCTCACCCCTAAAAACCCCTGAATCTGAACTGGGATGCTATATGGGCAAGATCTGTTGGTGACTGCAAGGATGTGTAGATTTTGACTTACGGACTGGAACTTGTCTGCTCAAAGCCCTGAGTGCTTCTTTTTGGGAAAGCAGATAAAGTACCTTCAAGTCTTGGTTCTCCTTGACTTTCAGTTCCTCACTGGGGTTCTGGATCTCCCTTGATGAGGAGAAAATTTAGGGGAGGAAAGCACATAGTCTCTGAGGATCGTGCTGCCTCTCTTGTCCATCTGTTCCCTCTTTTGACTGCCCCCTGTCTCATTTGATAAGTCTGATGCAAGTTTAAGCTGGATTACTGTACCTCCCTTACAAATACACATAAAATTTGCTCATATGCCTCATCATTTGCAGTGATAACCTGGAATTTCCTGTAACATTTGTAGCATTTGGGTTTTAGACTTATCCAGTCACTTCTGCCTTATTTAAAATATGACTTAGTTTCCCATTCTGTGCTCATTATTAATGCAAGACTTGTAAGAAGCACAGTCTTTCCTTTTGGAATTTCCTCCCACAGACATCATTCATACAAGGCCTGTACATCTGTGGTAGACTCAAATCGGTAAGAATGCTGTGAGGTCCTGCTAATCTTATTCTTTCCACCAATGACATTTCACATGTGACAGTCTTCAGCTTGCCACAGTCCATAACTCCAGGATTTGCTCAATCGTAATTCAGCAAACATTTTAGAACACCAGATCTTTCTCTGCCTCCATCTTGACCTCTGTCTCCATTTGTGACTTTTTAAACTGTGGATGATCCACTCTGTTCTGGTTTGTGAAGTTACTACTGTCTTTTTCACCTACAAGTCTTTAAGAGGGAGAGGGGGAAGAACTGTGGATGTGTTCTACCACTAAGGTAAATACATCTGAGAAGGCAAAAAATAGATATTTGTCAAATTAAGCATCATGTGTCTTCTTGTGGATTTGCCTGTACAAATCCACATGGTTCACTAGCCTTCTTGAATTTCCAGATTCTGGACTTATGGACCCGTGTCTAGTCCAAGATACTTTCTTGGCTGCTTGTCTTGTTAAACTGCCTAGATTTTTGGTCTTAATACTATAAATATGACACTATCTGAGGGAGACATTCTGTAAGCTCTGGGTTTCAATTCATGTTTTCAGGCAAATAGCAATAATTTGTGTGTGTGTGTGTGTGTGTGTTGGTGGTAGTGGTGGTACTGAGAATTGAAACCAGAGCCTTCACACTGAGCTATATCCCCAGCTCTTTGCAAAATTTTGTGACAAGGTTTATTTAAGTCCCTATGCCCAGGCTGGGCTCAAACTTTCAATCCACCTGCCATAGTCTCTGAGAGTGCTGGGATTACAGAAGTGTGCCACCACACCAGGCATGGGAACATGGTTTTATATTCTTCTGATTAATGTTCCTTAGCAATTTTGTGGAATATGATTGTGTACTTCTTATATACAGATGCTCTTTCTAATTGGGGGATGCCTAGACCAAACTTCATGTTGATTGTTAATGCCATTTTTACTTGATTATTTGAAAGCTTTCTTAGTTATCTTTCCTATATCCTTAAGGGATTAGATTCTATTTCTTGTGTAATATAATGTTAATTAGACTTAAAATATTCAGTGATCTCACCAACTCTTCCCATTAAAATTAAGTCTTTGGGCATGGTGGTACATGCCTGTAATCTTAGCATTCTGAGGGGCTGAGGCAGGAAGATCCAGCTGGGGCAATTCAGTGACTTAGGAGATCCTATAGCAAAATAATAGAAAGAAGAATGAGGATATAACTCAGTGCAGAGGCCTTGAGTTCCACCCCCAGTACCATAATCAATCAATCAAAAAAGTAAAGGATCAGATAAGTGTTTCTTTTTCAACCTATATAAGATGATTAACAGTAGATTTAAAATTTTAACCCTTTTCAGTAGAAATAATAGTAATTACTGTAATTTATTATTATAGCCCCTATCTACCCAGGCATTGGATTGTATGTGTTTTACAGTTCATCTCATCTCAAATGCAGAAACAGAGGTTTAGAGAAATTAAAGAGCTTTGTATGTTTATACAACTTGATGTCCTGGCTGGGACTGACATCTGCCCTTCATGCAGCCCATCCTGTTCCTAGAGCCCAACAAGCCTCTAGACTAGCACTTGACAGTGACATTGTAGTTTCCAGTACCATGGGTGTTTTGAGTACCTTAATGATTAATTTTTCTGATCTTGGCAGATATTTTTTATTACATGTCACATGCACAAATACAAAACAGCCATTTAGTACCAATATTGTGCCTGTGAAATCAATTGTTTGCTTTTTCTTTTGGAATGACTAGAATTGGCCTTTTTTTTGTTTCAGTGTGATCAGTTAAAAATACACATCTATTAGATGCCTCTTAAGATTGAATACTCAGATGATGGGAAATCTTTTAATCTATGTATAAAGTAAAAAGTTTACCTCAGGGAAAAGCAGATCTTCAGATGGTTATTGTGTAAAATGAAACATTTTCCTCCTGGAATTCAGCAAGACTTTTGAGCCTAGGGGGAAGAGTGGGTAGGAGATAGAAGAAACATGCAGGAGTTTGTTGAAAAATATAAACAATTATTTAAGAAATAAGCATGAATGCTAATATAACTGATAGTATTTGCCTTTAAAAGATGATGGAATTTAATGTTGCTCTTTTTTTACAAAATCGAATTGAATTTTACTAAGAGAAAATGGAACTTTGTATGGGATAGTAACAAAATAATATATACATGATTGGAATTCTCATTTTAGGCATTTAACTTTCTTTGTGAAATTTTATTGGATTCTGAATTTTATTAGTATCTAAAGTTTCTAACCAAATGGTTACATTAAAAATTATTTTCATACTTCAGAATTATAAGAAGATTCATAGCAAAGTTCTATTTAAAAAATCTCGTTTTGTATTGAAAATATCTTCAAAAGCTGTATTTACATTTACTTAGCAGCAAACCTGAATAATATCAGTTAATGGTTTCTTAATAATTATTTGATACTATTAAGCATTATTTTTAATACTATTAATACATATGGTGAACAATATATGTATCTTTTAATCAGGGGTTGCTAAAATAAACAACTTTTTAATCACCTGTGATTTTTTCACTATTTTCTATGACTCTTTCAGAATAGGATGTTATGAAACAACTTAGATTACTGCTCAGAGAACATATTGGTACAACACTAGAAGAATAATTCCAGGCACAATATTTATAGTAGATTTAGATGGGATTTATGCTTGGAAGTGGTATTGGTAGGAACCAAATCTTACTAGAATAGTGAAGAAGCATGATTTCTTGCTGATGCTGTTACTGGAGCTCATCTCTTGATGACCTGCTTACTTAACTTCTGAGATGCCCCTAAAACCTGGTAAATTGCATGCTAATAGCCCACGGAAGATGATGCATGATCAGTCAGCCTATATCATGAATGCATGTCTGGCTGGGCTTGCTCATCATGGAGGTGCTTTTTTTACTGAGAGGTTCTTTCACTCTATTAAGGTAGTAGTGAGGAGCATGGTGGCTTGATCCAGAGCTTCATATGATGACCTCTTGGGTCAGCTACTTAATAGCTGTGATACCACAAACAGGTTATTACTTCTCACTGTCATCATTTCAGATTCCTCATCTGTAAAATGGGAATACAGGCAGTAGCCACCTCTTAATCTGTAATGATTTTCTGCCATAGTATAACTTCTTCCATCTGTGAGAAAAGCCTGTGACTGTTGTCACTAATGTGCACAGGAGTCTGGAAGAAAATGAGGGTGATTTTAGCATGTAGTTTATGGTGTACTTCATCATCTGCCATCCTGCTTCGGATCATCGGCAATGAAGAGACAGTGACATTCCCTCTCTGTGACTGGCCAGCTTGGCAAGGATTTTAGGTCAATATTTCCATCCAGGTGCCAATATTCAATTAAACTCTTCAGAGTCTGTGATTATTATGATAACACTGTTCATTTTGGGAAATTTTGAAAAATACTTTCTAGTTAGAATGAAACTGTGGGTGTGTTTTAACTGTGGTCTTCAGCTATAAATTCCTGAAATGCTGACATAGTTGAATTTATTTCTGTTTTAAACATAACCACTAACATTTCCAAGCATCCATATGGACTCGATAAATATTTTGCTTCTGCTTACTGTATATGTCCACTGGATGAAGAGGAATGACTATGATTTGGGTGTTCTCGAACATTTTTCTTCATTTAGCTTGATGCTAAAGTGGATTGGAAATACTTCTTTGTCATGATAATATCAGGGTTTCAAAATTATGTTTGGATTTTCAGGAAATTGGTGGTAACTTTATATTAGCTGAAGAAAGTGAATTTTTAAATTCTCAGCGAAGAGGCAAATGATCCATTTTTTCATAGGAAAAACTTTTTCAAGTGAATCTGCTGCCAAGTTCTCTACAATGGCTTCTGGTGTTACTTGACCTTTTGGCACATCAAGAAATTGTTTTCTTTGTCAAAATATTAAATCACTTTTTGAGGAGGGCTGGGTATATAAGGTATGTAGAAAGAGCAGCAAAGACAATCAGCCACGTGTATTTCCACATCTGCAGGCAGATTTAATTTCTGTAACTGTCTGTCAAGCAAATCTTATGTAATGAACTTTCTTTTGCTCACTAGCTGCCATAGAAATTCTAGTTCTCCAGGAAATAAATCACAGTGGTCTTTCTGACAAAGATGGACAGTGAAAAATTGTGCCAGGATATAGTTATGTCCACACTTACCTAGAAATGATTTGCCATTTTTTCCTTTTTATAAGAAAGAACATTTACTAAAAGTTTTTCCAAACATGCATTATCTATGATACAGTATATGGACTATGTTCTGTTCATAGTTCTTTCTGTACTGTAGCAGGGCACTACTACTCAGAACATGTGGTCTTCTGTGTAGATGCCACAGCCAGGGGTTATTTTACTTCTCTCAGTTTTGCCACTAGGAATATCCATCTTCTCCTCATTTGCTCCCTAATCAGTGGAGGGCATCTTTGATTGCAACATGCCACACACTGTTAAAGTCTTTTAATGCCAGCCAAGGATTACACAGCATTTTGTAGGATATTTTTTGTTGCATGCTTGCATGTGCATTTATAGCCATCTAATGAAGGGATTAACGTTATACTTAACAAATGTGTTAACCAAGGTAGGAAAACAACTACAAAGTAAACATTTTTTGAAAGCCTGCTGAATCTCAGTCACTGTACTAGAAAGCAGCCACTCTGCCAGGTAAGGATTACTGTCCCCATTTATTATTGGGAACTGAAACTTAACGGTGTTTGGGGGAAGTTCTTCAGCTAATAGGTGGCGATGCCCCTATTGTGAGTCTAAAGCCCAAATGCCACACCAGCCACCTCTATTCAAGGTCATCACTAAATAGTATTGAGATACAAAGAAATTCACAAAATTCTAATCTATACCTCAAAATATTATGAGGTCACTGAATTAATGTTGATATTTCATATTTCATAGGTACTGACCCTATTCTTAACCCGATCCCCCAATCTATGGCCCCATTCAGCATTCCCATGTCAGACGCTAAAGCCACAATCCCAGGAGTTAGCCTGGACCTCTCTCTTTGACCCACTACCTTTGACCAGTTACAAAGTAGCACTGATTCTCTTTGTTAAGCATCACTGTCAGGTGGAAGACTACCTCGGAAAAAAGCAGGGCAGGGGCAATGCAGCCCATAGTTCAAGTCTGACCTTTGTGAAAGGACAGGTATGTGTTGGGACAGGCAGTGGCTGGAGCTAGAAGAAGTCAGAAGAGCCTCAGACTGATACAGATCTGATGGCCTCAGCTGGCCCAACAGGACCTCTCGAGCAAAAATGGCTCATTAGAAGAATCCCATCTGGGGCAGAAATGACAAGATCCCGATACACTGGTGTTTAGTCATTGGTTGGAACTGCTTGGGAGGAGAACATGGCCTGGGCTTGAAAGCTGGGTCAGATTTTAAGGTGCTGAAGCCAGAGATGGTCCAGTTCAAGCACTGTTGTCTTACAGAAGATCCAAACAGCATCCCCAGTGCCCACCACAAATACTACAGTCTGTCGCCTTGTCCCACCTCCCTCACCCACATCCAAATCAGCCATCTCTCTCTGTCGCTCACATGGACTCCAGGACTGTGGCTGGCTTCCAGTCTTTCCAAAATGACTGCACTACAGCATTTTGTTTTGCTGTTTTTAAAAAGTAGCTTTGTAGAACAAATACAGAGGTATTAAGAAGTTGCTTCTTCCTGACCAGGTATGTCTAGCGGTAAGACTACCATTTAAAAATGGATTTATACAAGTCACATTGCATAAATTATCTTTGGCAGAAATAAGACTTATTTGTTAACATAGTATACAGAACTGGTAAACCAAGAAATAGAGTCCCCAAAAAGTTTATAAAAAAATATCAAATGAAGGCAACAGGAAGAGATTTTCAGTAAATTTTCTGTGTTGTGACATATATTATGTGTGATATATTAATGTTGCAGGGTCTTATTTAGTATGAAAAGATTTTTTTCTTTTTTCCTTTCCATTTATTTTTGTTATTATGCTTTCACCCAAAAAAAAAAGCTACTGTATGACAGTAGGACATGGGATATATTTTATCTTCAGTTTCAGTGTTTCCATATAAGAATTTTTTCATGAACACTGTCCTCATCCTCTGGTCTTACCAACCTAGTCTTCAAACATCACAGTAGCTGTATGACAGCCTAAGCCAAATGGCCACGAGTCCACACGCTAAAACACAGTAATATATCAGACTTTCAAGATAATTTCTTTTCCATAAAAAAGCTTCAGGAGTTCCATCCTGATGCTCACTGTATCTCAGGGCTTGAGGAAGAATTCGATACTGCATGGTTAGTTTTTCCTGACATTTCTTTGTATTCTGCCATCCTTTTGGGGATGCCACCCATAATGTTGTAGTTGGTTGAAGTCCAGATAGAGTCCTGAATGAGCTGATCTCTGACTACTTTTTAGTTTATTATCCCAACTTACATCAGCTCCCACCCACGCTGGTAAGAGACTTGAGAGGGATTTTATTGTGCAGGTTTTTGCTGAGGAGTGAATGCCCTGGGGCCAACACCTGAGGGAAAAAAGACTTGGGCAAGGGAGAAGCTCAGCTTCAAAGAAGCCTGGTCCCAAGGCGGGCCTTAGAGCTGGGAGGCCCATCAGAGCTGGCTCAGGTTGGGGCGAGGGGCCAGGCTTTTGTATCCTCAAGTGTAATGGTCACCAAGTGCCTCTGACAGGAGATGTAAGCAGGCAGGGCAGTTTTTGTCAGCACAGGAAATCCTCAGAGGAGGCTCACAGTTGAGGGAGAGGGTGGCAGTGGCCGCAGGTGTCTAGAGTGAGTCCTTTCATCCTGAAGGAGGAATCTGGTTCACTTTTACCACACAGCACTGTACTCGCTTTTCCCCAGCCTTGGCCAACTTTCCCCTGAAGCCTACAGGCTTTCCTTAGTATTATTTCTTTTACCTGGAAAATTCTTGTTTGTCATTTAACCTCACTCTCTCTTTAACTCCTGTTTCAAAACGTTCACCAGTCTAAATTTCTTGTTAGGAGATTCCCAAGCACCCTGCATTTCTTCTGTTTTGCTTCACACTTCTATTTGTTTGTTTATCATTTTACTCCTTATGTGATCCAATGCTACAGGAGACCTGACCTTGGTGTGTCTTAGTGTTTCCCCAGTAGGTGGTGTAAGTTCTATAATAGGCATCCAGCAAATAGCTCTGACTCACTAAAATGAAAGGGTGCTATAATTCTTGCTGTTATTTTGTCAAATGTTCCCTTTCATAAAAAAAAAAACATAGAGAATATGCACTACTCTGCTTACATCTGCTACTGCTTTCCTCTGGTACTATATGGAATATAGCATGGTATATTTTCTTGCACTTCCTATTGTGAAAAAACCAAGCACCAAATAACTGAGGTGAGTTATCATAGAGGTGAAACTGTTGGTCAGCCTGGAGTAAATTTCCATACAATTTGAGACACTATAATGCTGTTTTTTGGCTGGATATTGCTAAGACTTACTAAAGCATATTTAGAAAATATAAACAGCAAACAAACCTTAAAAATATTTATTTTCATTGTTAAAATCCATGAATAAAAATAAACATGTATTTATAAAGTAGCTAAATTCCAGGACATTGTATGATACAGAATTCTTGTGTTGCCAAAATATTTATTAAAGGATAGTACTCTTTGTGTACAGTTATTCAATACTAGAGAGACAGTTAAGCTTAGTAGTACCAGGGAAATTTAAGTCCAGGTTGCTTATGTTTAGCAAGAATGAGAAACATTGATTGGATTGAATAAGAACATAGAGCTAGATTTATTAAATCTTGCTTTAATATTTTTATACATTCCTTCCAGATCCACTTCCTAGGAGTTCAGTAATTCCTGCATGCAAGATTTTTCTGTCCTTTGTTCGTTTTTGTGCTGTTATATATAAACTTTAGCTGAACAGATTCTTTAGTTGTTAGAATTGGTATAACTTGAATTTGTAGTTCTGTCAAATTAAAAAACATATATATAGTGCTACCTTGGTTCACGAACTTGATTCTTTCCATGATTCTGGTCACAAACTGAATTCAATGAGAACCAAATCAAATTTCCTCATAAGGTCAACTTTGAACCTAACCAGTGATTTTGACATATGAAAATTTGGCATTTATCCCTAAATGAGGAAATACTTTTCATCATTTCATTTAGCACTCTGGGAGATGATATATAAATCTTAAGTGAATAGATCATGTTAAATTTTCCCTGGTCAGTCCAGGTGTGGCGGTATACACCTGTAATCCCAGCACTCGGGAGGTTGAGGCAGGAGGATCACTGAGTTCCAGGCCAGGCTGGGCTACATAGTGAGTTCAAGGTCAGCCTGATTGACATAGCAAAACCCTACCTCAAAAAAAAAAATTTCCCTAGTCAAAGAAGATTGCCTCTTTGAATTTGTCAATCTAAGCAAGACTCTTACTTGCTCTGCGATGCTCATTCAGTTGGTTAGCTTTTTGGTAATATATTTTCCCATATGGAATGTGTACATGGACTGGGGGAATCAGAAGGTCTAGATTTGAGCCCTCACCTAATGGGTTTTCTTAATTTCTTTGATCTACTTTCTTACCTGAAAACCAGGACTAATGACTCCTAGTTCATGATATAGCTACAGATTTAAACACAAAGATCCAAGCCAATGCCCGGAGTTGTCCTGGTATTAGGCTGTCAGCAAATGGTAGCTATTATTATGACCAGTGCCTGAAAATAGCATATGTTTTTATTCCCCAATTTCAAAGTTAATTTTTAAAATGAAAGCTTATTTCCCCATTGAATTCTAAAAGTTTTTCACATGTGTAAAAAACCCTTATAATTTAGAGATTATATTTTGGAAACTTATGAGAGTCTTAAAGAAACCCTTATGACATTTAAAAGCTGTCAAGACATACCATCAGGTATTTCGAAATGAGAGCAGGTCTGATTCATTTGGGTACATTGGGTGGTTTCTGAATTGATTAGATTGTGCTGAGGCTTTTTTTTCTCATATTTTTCTGGATCTGATTATCTTGGTGTGTATTTACATGTGTATTAGTCAAGAGAAAGTATTGAGTGGCTGACATTTTGGTAAAAAACACTTTGTAGGAATTAATGATTTATAAATTTTAGATCTTTTCATTTTTATTCCAAAGTTTTAATAGCTCCCTAGGACAAAGTCGAGAACAAAGCACCATGGATGTCCGCAGGAGAGGTGACTCACTCCCTCTGGAAGACACATAAGTGACATTTGAGTTAGCTTTGAAGGATGAACTGTTCACCAGATGGAGAAAGGGACTGGTGTAAGGTGGCTCTTACAGACCAAGGGAGTGATGTGAAGAATCAGACCTCTGAAAGTGCATGTATTTCATTAATGATCATAATTCAGCTGCTGGGGCCATGAGAAATTTCATTGCAAAAGCTGTCTCAGAACTGTGCGAGAGTGTCCTCAAAAGCAGAGGCATGGTCAAGATGCTAGAGAAGGATTTGGGACTGAATTGAGAAGGGCATGCATCCCAAAGAATTAGTTCTTTGCCTGGAAGGCAAGGTTCTGGGCGGAGGATCACTGAGGAGAGCAGAGAGTAGATGAGTTGTTACAAGGGGCTCATCCTGATCCAGGCAAGAGCCTGGTGATGGGTGAGTGAAGTATTAGGCAATAGAATGGATTGGCAGGAGAAGGGATTTGAATTAATATTTAAGGGATTGTAAATGATATAACATAAGCTTCAGTCTCATGATAGTCCGTGAGATAGGTCAGTATTTTACAATTGATTTTTGGTTTTTAGAAGAAACATTTGTATATTTGCTTTAAAAGTGATTCTGTAAGTTAAAGAAGTTTAGCAAGGAGTAGATAAAACAGTGGGGTTGTTTTGCTTTAATCATATCACTTCTTGTAACTCTTAGTTTGGTTATATGTTTTTGTGAATTCCCAAGAGAGAACTATAGAATAATATATTTAAAAACCTCTTTATGAGTTGAAGCTTAAATTTTTATTTCAAAGAAATTTCTTCTAAGACATGTTATTGAGAGAGGTTTTAAATCCTCACACTTCAAACTGGGAAATTTAGAGTTAATAAGATTGAATATCTTCCTCAAGAATTGTATAGCTTGTAACAAGCCCTTTATATCTCATCCCATACTTTTTCCCAGGTGTGGTGGTGCATGCCTGTATTCCTAGCACTTGGGAGACTGAGGCAAGAGGATTGCCATGAGTTCCAGGCCAGGCTGTGTAGATACAGTGAGTTCATGGACAGCCTGAACTCAAAGTGAGACCTGGTCTCCAAAAACCTAGATAGATAGATGATAGATGATAGATAGGTAGGTAGGTAGGTAGACAGACAGACAGACAGACAGACAGACAGACAGATAGGCAGGCAGGCAGATAGACTGACTCATACCTTTAATTTTCCGTGATTTTGTTTGACTGTTGAAGTTGCTCAGTCTAGCTTTTGAGGCTGGGAGACGATCAGGCTTCAGGTCTGAGTGGCCTTCCTTGATGCTGGCACTTTGAACTTCCATGAGGCCTGTGAGTGAAGAAGCAGTTTTGGTTTTGTTTTGTACACGTGGATTGGAATGGGTAAGCATTTGAGCTTTGGACTTACTGCATTTGAGGTATTTGGAAAAAATGTCTAGTCGGTAGCTAAACACCCAAAAATGAAAAGTGTATTTTTGGATTTGACAGAACTGTTATAAAATGGGCCATTAAAGTTTCGACATTCACTTTTATTGTGGCTTTAAAAAAAGTTTCTAAGTTGGTACTCAAAATGCCAAAGTAGTCACTTTGAACACTTTTGGTTTTTTCCTAAGTGCAATTATTACTTCATGCCCTCCTTGGGGGAAATATTTCTAATCATTTCATTTAGAAAGAATTATATTCTGTGGTTTGTGTAGAATATTTTAAGGATTTCTTGACATGAGTAAGTGTCCACAAGAATTAATATATTTTAATTTTCAAGTTGTTTAATTCTCATTTTAATGCTCAAGTTGTCCATTTGTGACATTAGATTGTATGTATGATTAAGTTTTTTTTATTCTAATAGTACATCTGATACTGCTTTGGCTTGATCTGCTTAAAGGTTTATATTTCAGCATTATTAAATATTGGTTGATTGAATTTAATATTCTTTAATTTTCTACCATTTATTACATTACCATTTTTGTCATCCAGGTTACTGGGGAACTAGCTATTAGATTATAAGCCATCGCTCCCTTCTTAAATGATCAATATTATAGAGAAGTTGTGGACCCCTGAATACTTTAAGAGGCATAAAATAAATGTCAATAGGAATATGAGTAAAATAGTTATATAAATGCACCTTTACCAGGTGGGGACTGGTCATACTTTTATAGATGATGGTTCAGAGGCAAATTGGGGGAGTGTTGTGAGGGAAGGGCAGAAAACACACAAATATTTATAGAATGACAAGTAGACCATCTTTGCTGGAATGCTGGGTTCATAGAACAGTGTGGTTGGACACAGGTTTAAAATAAGGCAGCTTATGGCCAAGTAGTGGAGGACTTGGTCATGATGTATGATTTCTTAAGAAAATACCATCTCCAGGTGCCTCAGTCAGCACTGGTGTGGTTGCCAGCCTTCTGTGGACTAGCATGAGTCTACTGGGCCAGTGAAACTTGAGCTGATAAAATGGTGCACATGTGCTTCCAAACTAATTCAGAATCAAGGCTCCTTCCGTTTGACTTTGAATTTTTATTTCTGTACCACCATTTACTAGATTTTTAATATTTTGATAATAACTTTCAGATAAGCTTAAAGGAAAAGATGAAATTAGTTGAATTTCTCTTAAAACACCCAGATCAAAAACAAGGAGACAGCAGCTGTAAAAAACATATGCCAAACTTCTCAATTATGGTCTTATCATGCTAGCGTGAGTGCAGGCTCACAGTATGTATTTCTGTTTCCATGGCTACCTGCTAGGCAGCAGAATACCCCAGGTTGGTATGTTTTCATGTCAGAATTTTTTATGGAAAAAAATTGTTTTATGGAAAGGAAATTCAAGGTTTTTCAGAGTGAAGTCAATACATTTTTTTCTAAGCAGATGGGTTATACATTTCTAAAAATAGAAACAAATGGTTATTTTGATGTCCAAGTTATAAGTGAAGCCAGTCTTTAAGGCAGTATTTTAATGAGTTTAAAATTCTTTCATTTAAGTGGTTTCTTCTACATGGTACCCATGGCAACAGAACTTTGTGCAGGTATGGAGCATCATCTTTGCTGTATTTATGTCACAGAAATTCCTTTCATCATTAATGCTACCCTAATAAATGAAGGTATGAGAATTTAGCTTATTCAGAGTGTTATAGGAGCAAATTTTCAAAATATTTTTGGGTGTATATGCTGGGGGGTATCTAGCACCTCCCCTGTGGGGTTTTTTGTTTGTTTGTTTTTAAACAGGATCTCACTTAGTTCCTAGCCTGGGCTTGAACTTGCAGTCCTCCTACCTCAGTCTCCCAGAGGTCTGGGTTACAGGAGTGTGCCACCATGGCCTGCTCAAAATCATTTTTAAGAGATTAATAAAATTGCAATAGTAAGTGAATTCTTACATCAAATAATGATATCACATTGTATTATATTATCAAATTGATGTTTTGTTCCCTTGAAAACAAGAATTTCAGTTGCTAATTGGGAAGAATATTGTTTTATGGTTAAAAAAATGAAAGTTTTTAAACACAGCAGAAGACTCCTATCTTTTTGTTGTTGTTGTTGTTGTTCTTTTATTGGTACATTTTAGGTATACAATTTGTTTACATTTATCATTGGGTGTTTGTACCTGTACATGATATATCTTGGTTCTTATTTTTTTTCCCTTTTTCGTGTTCCCTTCACCCCCTCCACCCTTCCCTATTTACATAGATTTCATTTCCATTTTTTTTTCTTCTTTTCTCATAGTTTTTCCTTTCCCTCTTTTCCTTTCCCCTTCTCCTCCCTTCACTCCGTCTTTGGACCTTTTTTCCTATTTCAAATTATCAGTTATTCATTTTAATCATTTTAACCCTTGTTTACATTATCAGTTTCTCACACTAGAGAAACTATTCGGTATTTACACATGTGTGTCCTATTTATTTCACTTAAGAGTATGGCCTCGATATGCATCCATTTAGCTATAAATGACTCTATCTTAATAATGCCTATTTTGTAGTATAGTTAATAATCTCTCTCAATGTTTTGACAATTCTTCAAATTTTTGCCAAAGAAAAGTTTCATTTTTAAGGCAACACTTGCTGAAGCTATATATTTGTTAAAAGATAGGACTTTTCTAATAAGTTTTTGTATTTGAAGTCAGTGACCACTGTAATGGGTGCTCGTTACACCTGTTAAACTAGACTGGTATAAGGTACTTATTCATTAATCTGAATCTTTTGTATTTTAATAGGATCAATTTTTCTAAAAGTAACAGTTACTTTTTGTTTGTTGTTTAGTAGTTTATTTAATTGGTCATTGAGAGAAAAGCATAAAATTCTCAATTCCACAATGAACTTTTTGTTATTGGAGCATTTTTTTATTACTTATTTCTTTTATTGGTACATTTTAGGTATACAACACATTTACATTGCTCATTGGGAACTTGTACCTTTACATGATGCATCTTGGTTCTTATTTTTTCCCCATTTCTAGCCCTCCCTTCACCCCCTCCACCCTTCCCTATTTACAAAGATTGGAGCATTTTTATCTTAGGGAGATCATTTGCTGATAAGACTTATTTTGTAAAATCAGATGTCTCTCTTTAGTGTTCAGGGCATTATCTACTTCTGAATCAAGATTCAAGGAGGATTGATTCAGAAAGTCACTGCAATGAACTGTGGTCTGGGGACATTTAGAGATGATCAGAAATAACTTCATAGGAACCAAACCATAAGAGGGAAGTTGATTCTGGCAAATTAATGGAATTGACAGTCTAAAAGATATGAGAAATATTGATCTTGAGAGTACTTACAACTGTGTGTGTGTGTGTGTGTGTGTTTCTAAAGATAGTCTCTGTGTATTTCAGGCTGGCCATGAGCTCACTATGTAGCCCAGGCTGGCCTTGAACTCCTAGAGATCTTCCTGCCTCAGCCTCCAGAGTGTTGGGATTATAGGTGTGCACTGCTACTCCTAGCTACAAGTTTAATTGTATTTGGTCTCTTTTGCACATTCTGTCAGGTTTTAGATGAGGTTTTCTGTTATCTCCTGTTATGACCTTGTTCTGCTACATCCATGTTCTTGATTAAATATTACAATAACTTCATTTCCTTTGACCACATGATGACTCTAATCTTTTCATGACTTTCCATCAAGAAAATTCAAATTTCAGCTGGCCAAGGTGGGGCACGCCTGTAATCCCAACACTCTGGAAGCTGAGGCAAGAGAACCTCTTTGTCTTTTAGGCTAACCTAGAGCTTCCTCTGAGTTTAAGGCCAGCCTGAAATACAGCACACAGGGAGAGATCTTATCTCAAAAAAAAAAAGAAAAAAACCTTCAAATGTTCATCAATAAGATATGACTGTCCTTAAAGCATTTTCTGCAGTATTACATCTTTATAATTTGAAATGACAATGTAAGGGTTTGGGCTCTGGAGCCTGTTTTCCTGGGTTGAATGCTAGCTCTGTAACCTTGGGCAAGTTATTAGTACATCTTTTAGTGGTCTCCTTTTACCTGTAAAATGAGGATGATGATTAACAGTAATAATAATAATAATAATAATAATAACCCTTCACTAGGTTCTGTAAGTGTGAATGTATCAGAAATAGCTAAGTGTGCTGGGTTGCTAGTGCTGATGTAGCAAATGATGACAATCTTAGTGGCTTAAACTCATACAAATATATTTTACTTGTTTTTGGTGTTTTCCCTTTTTCCCTTTTACTATTAGTGCCTATTAACTTTATGAAATACTAGGTTTCCGTCTATTTTGATTGTATCCATCCCCCTCCTTATATGTTTTGTGAGTCAGAATCTCAGTATGGCTATCACTTGGCTAAAACCTCAGGACAGTGTTCCTTCTGGGGACTCTGAGACAGTCTTTGTACTCGCCTTTCCCAGCTCGAAGAGGCCACCCATATTCTTGGTGCATGGTCTCATTCTTCAGAGCCTTGTTTCTGTAATCATCTGCCCCTCTGCCACTTCTACCTCCCTCTTCTGCCTCTCTTTTCTACCTTTAAGGACCCTTGTGATTATGTTAGATCCATCTGGATAATCTCTGTGTTTTAAGCTCTGCTGACTAGCAGCCTTAATTTCATCTGGATCTTTCAGTATACTTTGTCACGTAACTTGACATAGCCACAGGACCCAGAGGTTACGAAGTGGAAATCTCTGGGGATCCCAGTCTTGATTCTATCTGCTTCCTACTTTTATACCATGCTGTCCTAGTGCTATATGATTATATATATTCTATAATTCTGTTTACATTTTACCACATGCAGAAGAGATGGGCAAAGAGAGGGTGAAGTGGGAAGAGTTATGTGCTGATGCTTCTTTTGTTGTTGTTGTTTCTTGTAGCCATAAAGAAATAATTCCTTTGTCA